ACCTGGGAACTAATTCCCCCTGGCTGATCTTCCTCTGCATTCTCCCATAGCTGGCTTCTTCCTGGCATCTGCGTTTCAGCTGAAACACCTTCTCAGAGCCCTTCTCATATTATGCCCTTCTTGGGCTTTACCTCTGAGCCAAGCACCACCAGCAGAAACTTGCCTGCCTATTCACTGGTTTACTTATTCACCACCCACCTCCCTCCCATGAAGTCCCTGATAGCGGGGGCTATTTTGTTCATGGCTGTGAACCTAGCAGAGCAGCACACTATAGCAGGTGCTTAATAAACAAGAAGTGAGGAGGATGTGGAGGTCTCAATTCTGTTCTCAGTCTGCTGTGTGATCTTAGACAGGTCACTTCTCTCAGGGTTTCAATTTCCCAAATATAAATGAAATGGACTAAAGGCATCTCAAGGGCTCGGTCAGTGGTTATGCATCTTCTGCCTTCCAGGCTGGATGGGCTGTCCTAGGCCCTCAGGCCCATACACAGGACCTGTCTGAGTGGCCAAAGGGAGACAGACACCTGACTGTGGTGACTTCCTGGTGCTAACTTGCATGCTTTAGTATGTATCGAGCCTTCAGCCTAGGCCAGACGTAATGACACATCCTGGGAGCACAAGAAGAAGCCTCTTCTGATACTCTAATGGGACCAAAGAAGCTGTGAAGACAGGTTGGCTTTGAGCTGAGCTAAGCAGATGGCTCTGCACAGGGGTGGCCCCTCTGCAAGCAAACAAGACCCGTGAAACAAGAGTCCCAACAGCTCACATCTACTGGGCACTTCCTCTGAACCAGAGCTGTCCTTGGGCTTATATAACATAGAGCACACTTGATGAACGAGTGCTACGAGGAACCCCAGGAAGAAACTGAGGCACAGAGGAGTGAAGTGGCTCACCCGAGGCCACACAGCAAGCTGGGTAAAGCAGGCAAAGACAGGTCACTAGAGAGTCAGAACAAAGGGAAGCAGGCACCTTCCCTGGACTGTCACAAAGGCAAAGTTTAGGGTCTCCAGAAAGCCAAATGGGCCTGAGCTCACAGAAGGCTGCTTGGTCCCCTGCAGCGAAGCACCAACACTGCTGTCCTGCTCTGCACAACTCATGCCTCAAGGACCTCTGGCCTCAGGCTAGAGAAGCAAGGGTCCTCGAATAGCTGCCAGTGGGGATGGAACAGCCATCTGAGCCCAGTGGCCCCGAAAGCCTCAGCTGGGAGAGGGCCAGCAAGGTGCCAGGGTTCTGAGATCCAGCCCTCTACAGATGCCATGAGACAGGGGACCCAGAGGAAGGGAGGAAAAGCATTTATAGGTCTTTCTCTTCCTACGGGTCAGTCAGGGAGAGGCTGCGATGGACAGGAGGACACCCTTGGACAGTAATTCCTGGAGGCCATGTAGGTGACACGGTCTGTCAAATAGGCTGGAACTAACTTCTGCCCTAGGTATAAGCCATGGGCTGCCACTATCTGGCATCCTGTCCGGAAAGAAGGCAGGGAAGCCAGGTGAGTAGTGGGTGGCCCCTCCCCTACTCCCAGACCCCTGCTAGGTCGGCAGGAGTGTCACACTCCTCTTAGCCCACCAAAGCCTCGCCTCCCCACCTTGCCACACCCTGCAGATCCTACAGCTTGGAACTTTTGATGTTTACTTTGTTCTTCCCTGAGTTCAAAAGGCACTCACAGCCCCAGCCCTGCACCAAGCCTGCCTTAATCTCCCTTCACTGGCTGGAGCTCCCAGCTGGCCAGTTAAGGCGGCTAAGACAGGGGATTAGGGCCGGCTTTACATAACAACGCAGGAGCAAGAGCCACCTTCTCCTGGGGTGGCTAAAAGACTTCTTTTTATCTCCCTGCCTCAGATGGCCTTTTTTCTCCCTTTAAACAGCTCTCCAGCCCGCCAAGAGGCAATGAACTTGGCCAACAGGAAGACAAAGAAGACATTCAGAACTTGGCTTATTCTCCCTTGGCCAACAGCATAGAGCGACACCGGCAGCCCCAGGTCCCAGGGAGGTGGACGGTTCTGTGTAGCCAGGACAGGGCAGCATCTGCTCTCACCAGCCCCAGCTGTGCAGTGCCCTGACATTCACAACTACACCCCGGTCCCAGCATGGATGGCTTTGGGCCACCATAAAGGAGGCCAGAGAACCACAGGTAATCCCTGGGCCCAGGGTCCCTCCAAAGGGTCTCAGGGACCGAGTGTCTGGACAGGTCCAGGGACGAAGTAGGTGGACAGGTCCAGGTGTTCACCTGACTCAAACCAAAGCAGCCTCACTGTTACTGCTTTGTTTCCACTGTTAAATTGTTATATCATTAGTTTTTCATTTCATGAGGAATACAGGGCTACATTCTTATAAAAGTCAAAATATTCATTACAGTAATACTATAGCCTGGTTTAACTACCCTTTCAGATTTTAGTTCCCTCCTGTGACCATCAGTAACTACTGTTATTGTCTTCTTGGTCTCTGTCCATATAATGACACATATATAGAGAAGCCCATGAAAATCCAGGATTGTCTGGTGCCTTTTGTTTTATATAATGACTTCATGCTGTATGCCTCTATCTGAAATCTGTTTGAACTATTTTACATTTTGTGTTTCTGTGAAAGCTTTTGCTTGAAAAGAGGTTAAAAAGCTTGGCCACCAATAACCTAGCCCAAACCCTAATGAGGAAACTGAGGCAGGTTGGTGGCACACAACCTCCTCATCAGTAGTGGCACCACTACGCCTGGACACCAATAGTGGCTAGTAAGGCACTTAGGCTGCCATCAAAGCCCAACATGTAGCTGATGGGCCTCTGGGTCAGTCCAAGTGCCACCAATCTCACACCCTTTCCTGACAGGAGCTGAGACCCTCAAGCACCTTTATTTATCCTCACCCCTAGCCAATGTTTGTAAGTGCTATCCAAAGCAGTCAGTCCTTCCTACGAGATGTCCACACCCTCTGGGTGCCCAATGACTCCAGGTGCATGTTACCACCCATCATGCAACAGTGGGGGAGGGCAAGGGACCTGCCCAAGATGTCACAGAAGATTGCTGTCTGAACTGGAAAGGAGCCAGGTCTATGGCTTATATCATGTCTGTTTGCTGGCAACAACATCTCACTTGCAATTAATTGTATGATTTCAGACTAAGGCCTTATGGACAGAAAAGTCCTTAGGTTTTGGCTCTATCCAGGGACCCAACAAATACTGGACAGACTGAAAGACAAATGGAGAGATCCTACCACAGTGGCGGCGAACCTATGGCACATGTGCCACAATGGGCACACAGAGCCCTCTCTGTTGGCACACAAGCCAAGTTGCCCCAGCAGCTGAGCACTGGATAACAGTTGTTTCTAAACTAAAACCTCAGTGTTCAGGTTTAATTGCAGTGTTGGCACTTCATGATAAATAAGCGGGTTTCGGGTCACAGTTTGGGCACTCGGTCTCTAAAAGGTTCGCCATCTCTGTCCCAGAATAAGTGGAAGCTGATTAAATGGATGGATGATGGGGATGAGTGGATAGATGCTGAACAGGTGAGTGAAGGACAGAGGTGGAGGATGGATTGAGGGTGTGGGGTGACACATGAGAACTAGCTGGCTGAGAGAAAGTGACAGAAAAGGAAACAAAAGAATGAGCAATGAATGGAAGGATGAGGGGTAATGGGCAGAACAACAGATGGATGGATGCAAGGGTTGGCTGAGTGGGCCATGGATTAGGGGTGGGTGGATGGATAGTGAGGAGGTGTCAGATACAGGTAAATGACAAGAGAACAAACTTGGAATGTTATCACATGAATGAGCAAATAAGTAGATAAATGGAATGAATGCTGAAGGCCCTGTAGTCAGAGTCTGGAGTCACATTAATCCTCACGGCCTAAATCCTACAGCATGCCAATTCCCAGCATGTCTCCATGGAGAGAGAAGGACAACAGCTAAGGATTTAGAGTCCAGGGAACGATGGAGGTTCAAAGCCTTCAAACCCCTGTGGACAGGGCCACTGACAGACACACTCAAGGGCCACACTACAGTCTGGGCAGAGCTCTCTGTCCCTGGGACTCCTCTCCCTTGATTTGGGCCAGTTCCTACTAGTGTAAAGCTTCACAGATACCTGGATCCCCACTGTCCCTCCAGCTTCTGGGCAGCTGAGTGACTCTCTTCCAATAATGTCTTCAGGTGTGACTTACACAGAAGTCACCTGGGGGCTTAACACAATGCACTTAGGACTCAGTAACCCTGAGGTGGAGCCACAGAGCGTGCGTGTTAACCCTCCGGGTGGATGTGGCCACAGCCCACAGGTAGTCCAGGTGCCCTTGGAGAGAGAGCATACTGGCCTCTCTGCTCAAGGCCCTCAGGGGCCCCACGGCCAGATGCCCTAGGGACCCTTGTTCCCTGGCCCCTGGCTGGGGCCCTAGCTCCACAGCCAGCTGCCTCCCGTTGGCTCAGGGGCAAATCCCTCACTCTCCCACATTGCTGACAACAGTGCTTTTCTTCTGTGATTCCAAATAAAGAACAGGGTGCCACTGCCCTCTGCAAACACACCCTGAGCCAAACCCACGACCATGCACACCTCATTCCAATTTTACTAGGTAGGGACTGAGGCCTGGTAGGAGAGGTTGCATGCCCAAAGTCACATCAGCACACCAGTGGCCAGGGCTCTACTCGACAGGTAAGAGGTACTCCTGTGAAGAGAACGAGGTTGGCTGGGAGCCAGGGTGCAGACGTGGACTAGTGCATGTGTGGGCGTGTGTGCATGTATGCTCATTCACTATGCACCAGGGGTGATAAGGCTGGAGAACCAGGGAAACAGCCATAGTGTAACTGTTACAAGCCTAGGGGGAAGCTGTGCTCTGACTCTGAGGTCCCACCACTGACAGGCTGGGGCTAGGCTGTGACCCTGGGACAGGCCACAATGCCTCCTCCTCCACAACCCACCCCACTGTGAGGGCCGCAGACCTTCTGGGGACCTTACAGCTGGCACAAAGGCAGCCAGATGCCCCTCCCTACCCCACTGAATAGGAAATGGAGCCAAAGATACCAAGTACCTTCTAGCCGGAAGTCCTCTTCCTCCTCCTCACTTGGCCCTTCTCTGAAAACCTCGCCCACGAGCTCCTGGGAAGACAAAGCAGGGTCGTTACAGAAGAGTGGGGCCAGGCAGGAGCCCACCCAGACATGAGAGGTGGTGGTGGGGACCTGTTTTGAGTCTTCTGATGGGAACCTAGTCAGGAAAGTGGGGCCCTGTGCACAAGATTAGTTCACTATGGTGATGGTTTCCAGGAAGTAGCATTTTTGAAGCCAGCAGCCCACCCTGAAATTCCACCCAGAACCGGACTTCCCCCTCTGAAAGGAAGCCCTCCCCCATGCCAGAATTGCCAGACAAGATCTATCTTATTGAGCCAATTGGACAAGACCAGAAAGCCTCCCCTGAAGAGCCTGAGAAGACTCCTTTGTCTGGTTCGTTTTTCTTCCACCAGGGTCCTGGCAGTTGTCTGGTGGGGCTATAAGAAGCCTATGGGGCCTGGTTTGCTGTCCACTGGCCCCACTGCCTTCAGCCAGACCCTAAAGCCTCCACAAGTATCCCAGACTCTGGCTGCTACAGGTCCACCCTCGTGCTCCATGTCCTGCTGGCCCACACATCTTCCTGTTACTAGCCTGACCCTTGGAAGCCTTGTCTGCTCCCACCAGTGAGCGGAAGATGTCCTGTATGGCACCAACACCGCAGGGCTCCTCTTAGCCAGCCAGAACAGATGCCACTTCGGTGGCATCAGGTTGGCCAGGGGCATTTCAGTGCTCCATAGGCTGGGAAATGTGGAGGATGTCTATAGACTAAGGCCACATGCATTACCCACTCCAGTACCTATGGAAGAAGCTACCCCAGGGTACACCAGATTAGCTTCTATATTTTCTGGTATTCTGCCAAGAACACTTCTGTGATCAAAGCAGATTGCTTTAGACAAAAGTTAAAGTGCCTCACTGCACGACTTCTCGGGGCCACTGTGATGATAATAAATACTGAATCTCCATGTGCTAGTGTTTATCAGATTTTCCAAACCTATGTAGACCACAGGGTTTTGTTTTTCCATAAGGATTCCAAGGAATCTACTTTAGGAAATACTCCTCTTTTGTGGACAGATGAGGCTCAGGGGTTATACCACCACATCTCTGAACACCGCAGTGATGCTAGTGGTGCTTCTAGAGCACCCAAGATGACAGGCAATAGCAAGCCCAAATGCAGAAGCTGTCACCATCTTCTCTTTGTGAAAAGAAAAAAGAAAAAGATGAAACACTGAAACACCCTCTCCTTGGGGGAAAAATTACTGTACCTCACATGCTTAAAGAAAAACCAGGCCTGTCTTGATGACCACAGAGAGACAATGTGGTCCACAGCGGATGGCACTGCTGGCCACAGCTGGAAGACAGCTGCTTGTTTCCTCATTTTCTGTTTTAAAGAACAACAGCTCACATTCTATGGATGAGGTCTGGTCTGCACTAGTCTTTCTTCTTTCGAGTCTTCTGGAGCATCACACACTTTCTTAGAGGGGGATAAAATGTGGCCATACAGCTCCCGGTGTCCCATTTATTTCGAATCAGGCTTCTCTTGCCTCCACCAATTATTTTAATCACTGAACATTTCCCGGGCTTGTAAACTGGCTGCTTGTGTTAACAGAGTTAGAGTTGACAGGGGAGCTGAGAGACGTTGACAGGAAGGAGACACACACAGGTGGCATCCTCAGATGGCTTATATGCCCCAGAAGCCAATTAAAGCCAGTCTTTCATGACAGAAAGGCAGAAGGCGGCTGCATGTCCCCCTGAGAGGCTGGCAGGCACGCTTCCTTCAGGAGCAGCCACAGTCTTCAGGGGACACACAAACCCTTCACAGCGAGGACCTCTGCACAGAGGGGCTCAGCACTGACCTCGGCAGCACCCATCACCACCCTGCATTTGGTGGGGCTACCAGCACCCCCAAGCCTCTTGAGTCCTGAGTCTTTTTACCAGCACACTTTTAAGCTTCCAAATGTCACCCCCACAAGACAGCCAAGGGGCTAGGCATGCGGCACACAGATGTAATCCCAGCACTCAGAAGACTGAAGCAGGAAGATTGCTGAGTTCGAGGCCAGTCTGGGCCACATAGTGAGTTAAAGGCCAGCTTGGACATAGACAGACAGCCAAGGGGGTCCCTACGCTGTCACCCACATGTGTGCCACACATGCACCATCATCCCTGTGATGATGGCTTGGGTAAGTTCTAGGGCCAGCCTCTTACTGGTCACTGTACCCTGCTCTGTCACACACTGAGCGCTCCCTGGTGCTAGGGCTGGCTGATGTACATGCTCGACTATGGCAAAGTTACCTCCTACACTGAGCTGCATGACCCTGGGTCAGTGGTCCTCATGGTTTGGGTCACTCAACCCAAGGGCAACATGGGACTTGAGCCAACACGGGATCGTGTCCTGGCCCAGCAGCAACCACAAGTCCGAGGCCAAGTACTCATCTGTCCATGGGACTCAGAGGCCTCCCCACCCCCTCCACATGGTGTGGGGACCTGGCTCTAGCTGGGAGCCCGCAGGCAAGGTCAGGGGCCAGGCCTGCATCATCACCCTACAGGAGGGCAGGTGCTCTGGAGCTGGGCACACAGACCCTTGGACCCAGGAGCCCACAGGACCCAGGGGTAGGAGCCCTGGAACTGGGTCAGGCAGACTTTCATTCAGATCCTAGCTCTCCCGAAGCAAGTGACCTGGAGAGGAACTTCACCTCCAGGGCATCTCAGCTCCCCAGGTGCAAAAAGGGCCAAGAGCCCTGTGCCATCGTGGGGTTGCTGTCAGGATTAAAGGAGCTGTTGCATGGCACATACTCAACCTCACACCCAGTCCCACGAGTGCTCAGTAGCTCACTGGTTCCTGTTCATTGCTTCTTCTGCATTATTATCAAATGGCTACAGAATGTGTCTGGGCCAAGTGGACAGATTACCCTCACAAACACCAGAGAACTTACTCTGAGTCTCTTCAGCACACTGTTTTTAGTGCTTAATAGTAATCACTTTGTCACTTAGTCACTCTTATTATTATACCCACTTTAGAGATGAAAACTGAGGCACAGAGAAGTTGAGAGACCTGCCCAAGGTCACACAGCTAGTGTGTGCCAGTACCAGAGCCTGCACTCTTCACTACTGCACTTACTTATAAAAAGCCTGAGTATAAGGACTGGCTTGCAGTGACCACCCTTCATTCCTCCTCTTGTCTACTCAAACTGTCATTGTGGCCCCAAGGTCTCAGGCCTCCTCCAGGATTGTCAGCCTCAGGCTGTGCTCAGTTCTGATCAGAGACCTTCCTAGATTCCCAGAGTCCCTGCCCAGGGGCCTAACTTAGTGGCTTCTCAGGCCACATGGTCATAATGAGCTTCCCTCCCCAGTCCCAGCACTGCCCTTCTGCTGGCTTGGGACACAACTCTGTTCCATGCTGGGTCCCTGGAGGAAAGGTCAGCTCCTCTGGGGACTGGGTGAGTGGCCAGCATCAGCCCTGAGCCCAGGATCTCATAAGACACAATGCCTTATAAGGCCTCAGGATGGGAAACCACATCAAAGCAGGCCTTGGGGCGCGGTCTGAGTCTGGTTAGGGTTTTCCTCTTTGTCTTTGAAACTTGGCACTCCTGAACTCAGTATTTCCCCACCCCACTGCCCAGCAGGTCTCTGTCAATCTTTCTGTTCCCTAAGAGCTAACAGATGTTGGTACCATGGGTTTCAAAGCAAACTCCTGGTACCCGTGGAACACGGCATAACTTCCAGATTCCAAGAATGCATGGAGCTGGGATACTCTGGGAAGAGAAGAGCTGCTTAGAACCCAGGTTGCCCAGGACCCCTTAGGTCAAGCAGCCTGTCCTGGGGCTTCCCCAGGAGATGCCTGGAACACTCTTCCCAGCACACTGTGCAAATGCAGCCCGGCCGCAGCCTTGCTGAGAGCAAGCTCTCACCTTCCTTCTGTCCCCTCACTTGGAGGCAGGACAAGGCTGATCCATTCCCAGCACTGGGTGGACCTGGCTGAGGGCTTCACAACCCTTAGCAACTAAGTAGCAGCAAAAACATTATTTAATTTTTCTGGCCCCTATTTTCCTTTTCTGTAAAATAGGGATTGAGATGTCAAAGAAGGGTCACAATGTGGACAAAATGCCCAGGATGGCATCTGGTACAGGTGGGGAGAAATAAGTGCTGGCTTCTGTCTTCCTTCTGCAGCGCTCAACTCTAACATGTGCTCAGGAACATTCTCACAGTTCATCCTTATGGTCACTGGATGCCCTGGGATTGTCCTCACATATCTGTCATCAGGAGGCACATTCAAAGTCAGTGGTGGTTAGGGCCACATGATTCCTATTAACCAACAGTCAGAGTGGCCTTGGAGGCCATCAAAGAGTACTGTATTAGACCTCCATGGTGGAACACCTCACAGTGGTTCAGAAGAAAGAGGCAGACCTGTCCATCCTGCCACACAGAGCACCATGCCACAGGATGAGCAAGACAGCAGGTGCAGAATGTGAAGCTACCTGCATACCTAGGAAATGGTATATACACAGTGGACAGTGAGGCCACCAGATGTAGGCAAATGTGCAATAGCCTCCAGAGAAGGGAAGGAGAACAGAAAAGCAGAGGGCATGGTGCGGGTATGTGGAACTTCAGGCTTATCAGAACTACTGTAATGTGGAACAAGTAAGTACAGCTGTCCCTTGGTATCCACAGTGGATTGCTTCCAGGACCCCCTGTGGATACCAAAATCTAAACATGCTTCAATCCCTCACTATACAATGGCATTGTATTTGCAAAGAACCTACACATATCACCTGCAGGATTTAAGTCATGTCTAGATTGCTTACAATACCTTGTGCAATGTAAATGCTATGGAAATAGTTGCTATACTGCATTGTTTATGGAATGATGACAAGAAAAAAGTCTGTATGTGTTCATTAAAACTATTTTGTTGGGCCGGGGGTTTGGCTCAGTGGTTCTGCCACCTGCCTTGCAAGCGCAGGATCCTGAGTTCGATTCCCGGTACCAAAAAAAAAACAAAACTATTTTGTCTTCCCAAATATTTTCCTCTGCAGTTGGTTGATCTGTGGATGAAGAAT